CTTGCGATCTTGGAGGCTTGGGACCAATTCCCTTTTGTGCTGTACAGAGTCAGGTCAAGAATCTAAAAGTGGGTCTGGCATGATTTCCTATAGCACCAGGTCACATCTTAAATTGCATTACCTCTGTCCTCAATCTGGCCTCTCACATCGACACTGAAAATTGTGGTATGTAAGCACGAGGTTTTGTGATGCATCAACTCGTTAGAGCCCGTGAAACTGTGTGTGTGGCTGTTTGTGTGTATCAGCAACCATGTGAGTTGCTTAAGTGGCCTTCAGCAAGATGTTGAGCTCAGTACATGATCATTGTGACGGAGCAGAGCAGGCTTAGCTCTGCCCCTGGAATTTCAGGAATATAACTTGTAATGTGATCTGAGAATTGTAATTTATTTAGTAGTTTTACTGACTTTAAGTCACTCTAGTAAAAGATCTCTGCTAAGTGATAAAAACAAAACATCGCTGTAAAAGGTAGCAGTCTCTCTGTGGGCAGCAAGAGTCGGGGAATTAAAAAATGATCAGAGAATGCTGGTGAATATCAGGCAGTTCGTAACTGTGTCATTTTATACAATATATTTCAAAAAACATATTTTGTGCAACAGATGTTTACAATCCAACTAGAGCGACAAGTCAAAAAAAATCTACAAATTAAAGAAACAACCGATTTAGAGAAATGACAGCACCCTGAAGCTCTTTTTATGGAATGCTCATGGAGTTGGGGATCCAGTCTGATTGCACTGGATCTGTATGTTTGAATAAAAGCCTCGCCTCTAACAAGCAAGCAGAGCCCAGTTTTGAGTTTCATTTCATTACACAGCCGTACTGTAGTATTTGTATGTTTTAGGGGTGAGGGAAAGCAGCAGGTTCTATAATCAGTAGCTAGACCTCAGCTTGCCTATCGATTAGTTTTCTTCTAACCTGTAACTCATACAGCACTTAACACTAGCTGTACATACAAAACTAACATGTACATTAACTCAGTTTAACTAACTCAGTTCAGGTTTTATCATTTTAAACATTCTAACACTGAGGCAGAAACTGTTTTATCATAATTGGTAGAGAAACTGGGTCATTATCATGAAACGGCAAAGAGAAAAGAGTTTGATTGAAACAAAATGCACACACACACACACACACACACACACACTATGTGTAGTTTGTCACAGTAATTTCTACCTGCAGTAACAAACTATGGTTCGTGGAAAGTTGAACATCATGGAGAAAAAAAATCTGACTTACTGGCAGGTTGAGTTTGTCATCGCAAATAAGAAGCTTGGAAAATATGACACCAGCAGTTTGTTTAGTTGGTGGGGTAGATTCTGAAGGAGAATGCTTAAATGCATTAAATGGGTTTGTGAGAGGAGGTGAAAGCACAAACCAGAGAGAGGTGTGGGTGTGTTCGACTCTCAAAATGAAAATGACAAATCTAGACATACATAAAATCTCAGGAGCCACACACACTCACACACATCATTCTCTCCCTCTCTGTTCCTGTCTCTCGTACATAGAGTTTATGTTTTCAGCATTAATAAACATACTGTTTCATTCATACAGGTTTCAGCACACACACAAACAAGTGGGCCAAAAAGGAAGCTGTGCCCTTTAAGTACTGCTTTGTTGTGTTGTGTCAGAGAAGCTAACAGAAGAAACCACATGTTTATCGGTTTATCTTAAAAGGGCTGCTTTTTGTTGTATTTCACTGTGTGAAACATGAGCTATGTAATTTAAACGTTGGACTCATTTATCCAGCCTCAAAAGAACACCACAGATTAAGTGCATCATAGTGAAGTAAAATGTTGTCAGAGTCCTCTTTCCAGGATTTCTTGGAGGTAAACACTAAAACATGACAGTGTTTGACATTAAAATGATCAGATGTAACAACTCAGGTTAAACACAGTTATTACACACAGATTACGTTGTTGCTGCCAGGTGAAAAACCTTTGGTATCTCTAATATAAACATTCAAGAACTAAAAAAGGCCCAATTACATTGACCACCAAGAATAAAAACATTTTTTTTAATTTCAAGCAGCATAGCAGGTCACTTCCTCAATCTATAGCTGCAAAAAAACTTAATGAGTAAAAGTGGACTCTGATATAATGGAACTCAAACGCCAAACCATGGTAGTGTTCGTGCCTAAAGGCAAACACCATGTTCCATTCATCTGCATTGTTTTGCTACAATAAAACAATTATTAACCAGTGTGCAAAGGTCCTGGTAGAGGCTGATACATGTTGGCTTCCTGCTTCAAAACAGCAGGAAGCCAACGTGTATCCAGTGAAGTAAAGCTTAGGTACTCACTGTTCTTAACACTGACTATCATGTAGCATCTTCTGCCGTGCAAGGAATTATGCTTTTTATGTTTCTGGTTTGTTTGGGATCAACAGAGTAAGTAAAGTTTACCTCAAGTAGCAAAGATGGATAGTTTAAATACTTAAACTTGATGAAATGAGAGCACAGTCAGGAATTTTTATTTCCTTTGTAACCCAGAGGTGTTCCTAATATTCTGACCCTCTCATGTACAGTATATAGCTGAGAAGGGCAAAAACATAGACACCTCTAAATACAGTGTAGTCCAGTACAATACCACCTTTAACTGTGACCTCAATAAGAAAAATATAATTGAATGTATACATTTAGGACAGTTTCATCAAAAACTGAAACTTGGTGTTAAAGTGGAAGTGTCACAGTGAAGTGCATACAGCTGTGCAGGCTAACAAAGTGGCTGGTGAGTGTATATATCAGTGAATCAGAAGAGGCGTCATGTGACTGACCTGGAATCCCCAGCCGGTGGGTGCTATGGTAACGCTGTTTCCACACAGGGGAGATAGCGTTACCACCAACCTGAAGCAGACACACTCACAGATGCAGCTCTGTATCAGTCAGTCGTCAGTGTTTGGTTAAACCCACTGAGCTAACATTTGTAGCCTTTCGTGTGTTGAGGGAGATACATGACCATTAAGTGTTCAGGTGAAAGTGAATTTCAGAGACTGTTACACAACACAAACAAGTACGATTGTTTGCTTACTACACTGTGGCCTTTAGCGAACGCAGTTCAACTCTGTTTGGCCTTTCTACATTCGAGCAGCTGCAACTTAGAGGTCACAGGTTCAGATCTTTATTCTGATCAGTTTTATAAAGGTAACATTCAGAAATATGAGATTATTCTTAAGCTTGAAATGTTTAAAAGTGCTGTTTTTGACTATATGACTTTTATTACTCCAGTGTACTGTACTATCACAGATGTAAACAAACCTTCACAATAGAGTCAGAGTTTTGACTGCATTAAAAGACTCGTTCTGTTGTCTTTCACCTCAGGAGGAAATGAACGACTTCCAGTGACATGCTGGTTGTTTACCTCACATTTCATAGAACGATGGCAACTGGCTGAGCCACGGTCGGACATGTTGTGAAGTGCCTGATTTGCTGTATGTGCAGTGTGGGCCTTTTGCATTTTCATATCGTATCTAGTGTGAACATAGTACAAAATACTGTTGCACTTACAGTAAGTTGCACTTGCCATTAACGAATCAGATTGTGCAATAGAAAACTGAAACTACACAGCATGAACCACAGTACCACAACATGTCAGTAGTGATATTCAGAGATCGTTCAGTTAGAGGAATATCAGTTGTCTACATCTTTCAGCATCTTGTTACAACTGAAACTCGTTCTGCAATGAACATCTCACTTCACGCCCACATGTCCACATCCAGTACAATAACAATACATTTATTTTTGCCAGTCAGATCTCGGATGCCCTTATTTTCTCTTGATTAGACTACTGTAATTGCATGTACTCAGGGCTTACAGTACAATGGTCACGCATGTCCAACTAGTCCAACTACTGACAAACTCGAACAGGAATGGTCGACATCACCCTTGTTTGTTCCACCTTACACTAGCCACTAGTCAAGGTTTTCAAAGCTCTACATGGTCTGGCTCCAAATTATGTCAGGGACTTACTGGTGCATTATGAGCCAAATCGCTCTTTGGCTTAAAACCTAAAATGTCACATTTTATTGCAGAACCCTTGTTTTATTTCTCTAAATAAATGAACACACATTCTTTCCTTTCTCACAAACAACTGGGATGGGCTGAGACGTTATTGGGAATAGTACATGAAGTTTACAGTAAAATCAACAACTTTGCTGTCATTTTCAGGTGCCAACCAAAAAGTTGAAGAAGTTTGAGAAGGAATATCAGACACTGAGGGAGAGCCAGCTCCAACAAGAAGACCCCATCGACCGATACCAGGCAAGTTAAACACACACATGTTAATATGTAAAAACAAATCTTTTCTTACCGTTGTTACTTGTAGCATGTTGTTTTATTTTTCCTGCCATGTGGTGAAGTTATACACATCCCCCTTTTTTGTTATGCGTTACACAAGCACATACAGCATATTGATATGAGAGCAACTTCGTCTTCTGTAGGTTTTAACATAGCAGCTAGTCAGTGTTCAGTCTGAGAGTTGGTAAGAAAACACTTGGCTCTGTGATAAAAGCAGTTTTTATGTTTTAAATAGTCCTTCTTTGTTAAAATTAACCATGTTCCTAAGATTAGAAAGCTCCTGTGAACACAGCGGTTTTGTCAAACTGTGCCTTTGTTGTTAATATTTGTGACACTGTCCTGGGTCGAAATGCGACTGCTCACACAGCACCAACTTTTCATCGTCATTGAATTAAACATCTGGGGAAATGTATTTTTGGGCGAAGCTGCCAGGGTGTTGTCAGAGATGCTCAGCTGCGGTAGTGTCATCTTGTCTGATTCCTCAGGAGAGGAGAGGCAGATAAAATAAGATCTGGACACACACAGTAAAGTGTCAACGGACAGCCTCTGTCCACTTCATTTTAAAGGTTTTCCTTCTCTTCCTTCTGTCATTCTTGTTTTTATTTGTTATTTAGACCAGACATTGTTTAAATCTCTTTTTCAAATTTGCTTTTGAAAAGGACACAGTAGGAACTGATTAAATTTGCATGTTCAGGTTACATTATTATTGTCTTCAGACTTTTTATGAAGTTTAAAGGAACATTTCAGAATTTTGAAGTTCATCTTTAACATGTACTGTACCTGCAGATCATGTGGAACATGGAAAGCATCTATCTTTTATCAGTAGCTGACAGATTCTTAGAGATTTTGTACTCTTTGTTTTACAAGACGGTTTGAAGTAAATGACTAACAGACAAGTTATGATTTAAAGGCCCAAGTTTTTTCTTTTGGTTTCTGTTTCCCGCTAGGTTACAGATGTTTCACAGCTCTCGCAGCTTTTGTTTCCTAGCAAGCAAACTACAACATAGCCAGTGACTTTACAGAGAGGAACATCAGTATGATTCTCAACATAATACTGTATATTGCTGGGGGTGACATACAACAATGTGCTGCCCATCAAGTGAAAACTGGTCTGATATTCTTTCCTAGTTGTTCAAAAAGCAGCTAATTTCAAGAGTTAATTGAGGTGAGAGGCCTTTGTTTTGACCATTGCTGAGAACCAGTATATAAAGGTTACCGTGACTGTCTTACATGACCACTGTATCACTTAGAGAACCCTAGCTGTAGTAATTATTAAAGGCAGTGAAGTTCACTGCTGACAACGTTAGAGGCATTTGCTCCACTGTTCCCTGCAGCTGTTTAAATCACGCTGCTCTTTGAGCCTTATCTTTGTAATGTACTGGAATGATGAGAACACTTCGAGCTGTACTGTTCCGACCCATGTTCAAATCAAAACCCGTCACGATCGTTGCCTAATGTATAAAAATGTGGCCCTGCAGGACTAATGGAAATTCTTTGGCCCCTGTTGAATGATCTCAGAAATGCACAGCCATCCAGCTGAAAAGCAGGACTGTGTTTCTTAGCTTGTGAAAGGCTTCGGTATTTTCCTTGGATGATTTTGAAGGTTCGGGTACAAACACCTTTTCAGCTTAAACCCGTTGCTGATCAGTTTCCTGGTCAAGACAGTGCTTGATGAAGAAGTCATTGTGAGATGATGAAAAGTCATATTAAAGTAAAATACAGAAACAAAAACTACATTTCCATGTGCTTCTTTTTCCCCTGTTGGTGTAACTTGTTAAAGCTGCTGGTTCTGGAAGGACAGAAGGAAGAATTTTATTGTAGATATGAAGTTGGACCAGAGCCAGTGGGATGACTGTTATAGAGCGAGAAGGCACAAAGAGTGTGTCTTGTTTTAAATGTCTAACATCTATGTGTGACTGGACAGTTGTGCTTTTTCATAGCTGTTTTTGTCTCAATACAAATAAAAGCAATTTAAGAAAAGGAAAGAATGGATAGTGAGAGATAGAGAGATTGAGACCGGGAAGTGTCAGACAGAAGGGAAACTACTGTCGGAATCATGTGGTCAAGTTGAGTCTGTGCTGCTGCAGGCTCCATATGAAGACTGTGACTGTGGACAGCAGCACGGTAAGCTGCCTCTGCTCCTACAAAGGTTTTATTAAGAGTGTTTGAACATACAGTGTGCTTTTGGTGCTTATTCTTTGTTGATTCGTTGACATTAACCACTGATATCTTCTGGTTTATTGACCATGTTGGCTCCAACAGCTTTGTTGGCAAGATGTTTAACTGCCATCCCTACTAACTGAGACAGCGTGGGCCTTTGCTCTGTTTGGCCATGTTATACTCACCGTTTCTCTGCTTGCAGGAAGTAGAAAACCGAATCTGAAGAGAAGCATAAGGGCTCTTTCCAGGGAAGCTTTACATTATATGTTACTTTCCTTTATCCTTTTGGTATCTCTCTGTGTGATGCATGATACTGTATAATGCACTAGAGAGTGACAGAGATGCGTCTGTTCACTGATGACACCTTACAGGCTGGTAGTGTTTGTATTTTTCATAGCTGCTTATATGAGTCGATGTGAAACCAAATGAAGAAAGCCTTTTGCACAGAGATGTGACCTAATAGGTTTTGTTTACTGTAGATGTTCAGGTGTATTAATATGCTAGTTTATATTTGCATAGTTACATTAAATGTGCTTTGTGATGAACTATATAGTGTATTTGTATACCATTCATGCTTGTGCTGTATCTGTATGTAAACATAGACAGATAGAAACTCAGGTAGAGGAGGTCATTATTGTAAACGTGAAAGGATATCAGAGTCAGGTGATTGCTCGTAACCATGACAACTGTTTTGCCCCGTTGAGACAGGGCCATCACGTGAGAGTGTTTACAGGCAGACCAGTAGTCATGACACTCCACTAATGGTTTACAATGGGGACTTTAAGAAGATGTTCTGTGTGTGTGGTGGTCACAGTTAAGACTACTATAAAGTGTTCTCTTGTCTTTTGGGCATTTCATTCTGTTCTCGTGCTATTAGAAGGTTACAAGTAGAGAGATGGAAGCAAATGAGAGGGACAGAGGGACACCGAGGGTTCTGGCTGGACGTGAACCAGAACATTATGAGTCATTATAAATAAACATAAATAAACTTTCTGTTGCAGTATTCATCTAAGAAGTGCACCTCACATGTAAAATGAACACATCTCAGTTGACATCACAGACACTAATGGGTTTTGCCGCTGCATGTGTGCAGAGGGAGAACCGTCGTCTTCAGGAGGCGAGTATGCGACTGGAACAGGAGAATGATGACTTGGCCCACGAACTGGTCACCAGTAAGATCGCCCTTCGGAACGACCTCGACCAGGTGAACCTCAAGATGACAACAGACTACCTTATTTCAAACTTATAAGAATATCATGATTTTTGAGTAACAATGTTGTGTTTACAGGTAGTGTTTGTTCCCAATTGCTGACATTTACTGTTGGTAACAAACTTAATGTGCTCAATGCATATGCGCTTTGAAAGGTGCAACAACTAGCAACTTGAAATAATTTCAGAAGCTGAGATAATTCAGTCCTTCACTCTGATGGGAACATAAACAGACAAATATAGCTGTAAACAAAAGCATTTCATCGTCATTCCTGATAACGCACTTCTTCACTTCTTCAAATTGTTTGTTGAGTTGCTTATAATCATTTCACAAAACAACCAGTGCAGCTGTACTGCGCCTTTATAATGACTGAATAGTAAAGATTATATTGATTCAACTGTATCTTTGTGCTCACTGGCGGTTGTGTGACAGTGGTACTGTGCTGCAGTTGAAGATTGTGTGTTAAACATATGCTCTCTGTGTGTGCGTGCACTCAGGCAGAAGACAAGGCTGATGTACTGAACAAAGAGCTGCTGAGCACCAAGCAACGTCTGGTGGAGACCGAGGAGGAAAAGAGACGACAGGAGGAGGAGACGGCTCAGGTAACATCTGCCCTCGGTTTACCTTAACAATCTACAGTACAGGGCTCGTTGGTCAGTTGGTTTGATGATCTTTTCACTCAAAGCTTTGTTCTGGTACACTATTTCAGTCAATACATGTAAATGAAAAACTACATTTGGCAAAGTTTTCAGGAAGCAGCATATTCAATCCTCCCTCGAAGTTGCCTTAATGGCTTCACTGTGTGGTTTATAATGACAATAAGACACATACAGACACAAAAACTGTGTAAATATTTATGGTCTGGACTGTAGGTCAATGAGTGATGTCTACACCAAAGTGACCAGTTGTGCTAAGGTTATTGTTTATGAACCCTTAAAGAAAGACTGGTGCAGTAAGTGTTTGACCAGATTTGACCAGATAGATGTGTGAGTCTTCAGAATTTGTGCAACTGCTGTCACCCTGACATTGCATTTGCATAAATAGTATGTTAATGTGCTTTGTCAGGGTAGCTTATCATCCTCTTTAATGTACACTCGTATGTTTTTGTTCTGCCGTTTCCAGCTGAAGGAAGTTTTCAGGAGGGAGCTGGAGAAAGCGGAGATGGAGATCAAAAAAACCACAGCGATCATAGCTGAATACAAACAGGTGTGACAGTTTTAATAACCTAAGTCCATCAGCACACATTTGCTATAAAACTACTCACAGCAAAGATCTGTATACTCTGTTTACTTTTTCTATTATTCACACAGTATTTTTTTATGAGCAACTGTTTTTAAAAATGTTCTGTAAAACTGTCATGTTAACATTTGTATTCTGTTTAAAAGTGACATATCAGCTAACTAGTTCAGACCAGTATACAAAACATGTATAGATTTAATTTGTTTATGCAACATTCTTCACATGCCACAAAGACTGATACATATATCACGCTGCTCAATTGATTTTTCCTGGAGAAAAACAAAATCCTGGTTAAAAGAGTCTGTGTATTTCTTGTGTTGTATCTGAAACATGTTATTTTTTATAAAACCCAACCTCTTCATGTTCCAGATCTGCTCCCAGCTGAGCACCAGGCTGGAAAAACAGCAGGCAGCAACAAAGGAAGAGCTGGACATCGTCAGGGTGAGGATGCACTGTTACTGCTCTGTAGATCAGACTTTCCAACTCCTAACTAAATCACAGAACAAAGGATTTTCCAGTTCACATTAGGCAACCAGATGGGCCCCGGTGGGTACAGCATCACACCAATAAAGAACCTGATTGCTCAAATGGTCCTACATGACTCATTTATCCTTTGTCAAACATGTGATGTTGCTCTTTGCGGTTGTGGTGGAGTACCACCTCATGCCCTGGTAAAGATCAGGTGACTCTGATGTTACAGCAAATCATATTAAAACAGAAATCACATCACATTGAAACCTGGTTGTTATAGTGAGACATGACACAGAGAGGAACCATTAACACTGCCATATACAGCATGTCAGTGTTAATGTAACACTTCCACGTGTGTTCCACTGATGGCTGGTGGAGCACTGACTTTAAAAATGTACCAAAATAAAGAGAGAAAGAACCCTCTTTAGATACAGTAAACGTGTAACAGCACTGCTGTTATGTGTTTATTTGCACTAAGAGTTTGAATTAAGAGTTTGTATTACATCTTTTATTGCCTGTAAATGCAGTCTATGCAGTATGTTTACCCACCAGTCTCTGCTAACATGTGTGTTTGTGTGCCCATGCAGAGTAAAATAATGGGTTGTGAGCACTGTAGAGACCTGTTCAGCACCCTGGGCTCCCTTCAGACATCGTCCCCTGACAGGGACAGGACATCCACCGAGCCACAGGACGAGGAAAAGGACGGGCTGAAGGAGCAGCTGAGGCAGCTGGAGCTGGAGCTGGCCCAGACTAAACTGCAGCTGGTGGAGGCCAAGTGCCGCATCCAGGTCAGCAACATCACGGACTGGTGACGACATCAGAAACAATAGCGACTTCTGCAGAGATGCAGGGAAATAAACCAAGTCTGTAGGAGGAAATTGATATAGTAACTAAAGCTGTCAGAAAGATCCGCAGGAGTAAGAAGTAACTGTAGATAATTTTATTTGTAAGTATTAGTGACATAACTGAGCTTCCTGAAAATTCAGTACATTTCTCAAAAGGTTTATTTTGGGCCTTTTAGCCTCTATTTTTATGAAGTAGTTGTTGAGAGGCCGAAAAGAAACGGAGAGAGAGAGGCCTTGTGACTGAGCTGTCAGCGTCGAGCCACTGCTGTCCCAAACCCAAAGGGGCATGTGATGGGCTGTGCTGTAACCATTTGGCTATGAGGCGCCTTGCTAATTTAAAACTTTCAGCCACCGACATTTGTTACCTCAGTGTTCTCGATGACACGCTAAATACACAGCCACATGACACAGGGCGGTGTATTAGAGGTCCATACAAAAGGTCCACATTCAGCTCAGTTTCCTCTGTGATCCTCCTGCTAACCGCTCTCTCCTCCTCATGTCGGTGTGCAGGAGCTCGAGCACCAGCGGGGAGTCCTGATGAATGAGATCCAGGCAGCCAAGAACTCGTGGTTCAGCAAGACTCTGGGCTCTCTGAAAAGCTCTGCCTCCTCGTCGTCCAGCTCCACATCCCAGACCCCGTCCTCTCCGAAGGAAGGCCCCGCCTAGACAGCCTTCCCTCCCGTTGTCCTTCTCTTGAAGGATGCACACTAGAGCTAAGGAACAGAAGAAACAAGCAGCAGAGAAACGCGGTATTCCTTTTTCAGCCAGGGGTAAAGCAGAGCTCAACAGCTTCTTGGACTGCAAGGAACAGGCGGGGGACTGGATCAGCTTCCTGTCTTTCTCATTATGTTTACATTCGTGTGTCTTTTGACCTTCTCTGCTTCACAGGTGATGAGAGAGGTGAGAGGTAATTAGTGAGCTCTGAAGCTGATTTAAAGGTTCAGGTGCGTTGCTGACACTGTTCCGTTGAGTTGGATGTCTACGCTCTGATTATGCACCAACAGTGGTCATGTAGGTCAATAATTTAGCTCCACCTTGTGGACAGACGTTGCTACTGTGGAGTTACAGCAATTTATCTGCATAAGATTGTTTCTAGCTAGCTGAGAATTAAACCTGCATTCAGCCTCACAGGAAGGATAGTATTTTGAATGATAGTGATACAGTTCCATCACATATACTAAAATCTACACAGTGTCAAAGCCACCACACTGAAAAAGGAATACTGCATCCAGAGTTTTAAACAAGAACAAAAAGCTGTTTCTTAATAGTAATATAATGTAAACAATGTTGTCTTATACATATGTATAACTAATTATTGATTTTTAATCAAATTGTACAGTTCTTGAAGAGAAGAAAAGGAAAAACACAAGGAGATTATCTTTTTTTTCTACAGTCTGAAATTTGAATGTCATCTCTAGATGTTGACGTAAGCACAGTGTGTGGTCGATTTGATCAAGTCCAAACGCTGACGAGCCAAAGTGACAACGCGCAAAGATTTGATTTGTTCCTACTGTTCTTCCAGTGATGGTTAAACTGACTTGAGGTTTGTAATCTCCCCTCTGAATTTCGCTGATTTGAATTGTTAAAATCCCAGCTCATGCTTGTTGGTATTTAAGAGGCATTTTTACTTTTTGTGCGCAGATTTGAAACGGGCAATCATCGTTTTTTGAAAGTGGTCAGCTGTGATCACAACAGAAATAGGCGCGCTCTTCCCATTTTGTTTCATAACTTTTATACTTATTTTCATTTTATTTGGGATACAAATAGTTAAAAATGTGCTATAGCAAAGTCATTTTTCCATCACTTTCCTATTTTAAAAGAAAAAAATAGCAATTTTTACTTTTTAAATGATTCCGTTGGAATTATAACAGAATAGCACACATCTGCAGTAATGTGGTGATACAGGCTAAATCTCTCCCTCTGATCTGGTTTTAAGTTACACCAACTGCTTCTGGTGTCTGTAAACAGCCATTATATTTGGGTTTATGTTCCGCTTTCACAAGAAGCTGTTTTCCTCTCCTCATTTTGTAACAGAATGACAAATGGCTTCCACAGAGTCAGATAACAGGCACAGTAAACTTGGAGTTTATCATTCTGCATTGAGTAACATTATGCAGGCAACACCCACACAAAGTATTGGAAGTGTTCATTGCTTCATACCTGATATCTTAATCTGTAGATACTGTCACCACATTAAATTAGGTAATTGTACAATTATAACACACTGTAGGCTCTTAAGTATCTGTTTTATAGCACAGTACATCCCTAAATAAATAAACAAGATTAGGCTCAATACTCCCCGTCATTGCTAAACAGTGCTAAGACCATTTTCACAGCTGTGGCAATACCTTTGTTGTGTTTTTTGTAAATGTCGATTTAGCATTTAAATGACAACAACATAGCTGTGGATACCAAAATCTTCTGTGACTTAAAGGTAATAAAATAAACCCCAAGAAATGAAGGTTTGTTAGTTTTTTTTTAGGATATAAATAAAATTCATATACACTTTGCAGATTAACAGCTCACTTATTGTCATTTTATCTTTAGCAGGGGAAGATCTAAGATAGATAAAAAAACAAACAGATGATGCCCCATTTAAAACCGCTAAAAAGATTAAATTGAATAAAAAACTGACTATAAAAGAAATGACAACACGGCTCACACTTATTACACTGATAGGTGTTAATATCTGATAGGGACAACAGCCATTAATTAGTTTTGCTTCAACGTGACCACATGTTCAACAGCTGCAGTGTAGGGGCCAACGGCCCTGCTTCATGCTCCAGTCCGGTTGTCACTGAAATCAGCCTTTGGACTCTGACCGATCCCGTGTATACTTGTTTGTGTGTGTGCTTTTGGATGTATGTATGTTTGTTCTGCACTATAACTCCAATGGTTGAAGTTGAAGCGGTTTATTCTCAACAGGATTGCCTTTTCAGTTGATGCCTGAAGTCGTTGGCTGATTAGACTGTTTGAAACGGTGGTGAGCGTCAGCTGTGCCATAAGCGTCTCCCTCTGCTCCGTCCCCGGTGGTCTTCCTCTGTGCTCCCAGTGACCTGAAGCAACCTCACCAACAACCGTGTCATCTGATCTTGTAAATTAATCTGCAGAATATCATTCTCGCACATTTCCACCAGGAGCTTCCCAGTATGACCACCCTGCTCTTACTGGTGGCCAGTGAGCGGCTCCATTAGAGGAAATGCACTCGTATCATGGAACGAGAGAAAAAAGGAAGCAGACTGGCTAAATATCATTGAATTCCAGGTGTGGTTTGCGTTTCCAGGACGTTCCTCTTTCACTATCATGCATCATTCCTGTTACAACGATGTGTAACCAGTGTCATGTAAACTGTGGCCAAGTTGGCGAGAGCTCCCCGTGTTTTATATGCACTAACACAACAGTGATATCTTAAACACTATTTCAAAATGCGTTTGTTTATCCTGAGCACAGAGCATAATTATTTTCTAACTGATGATTACTGTCATTGTGAGGACAGCTGCCAATTTATAATCCACTCTAATTCATGGGTAGTTTCAATGATGCAAAAGCAGGCAGTAAATCAGAGGTGTGATGCATGGTTTACAGTTTATGTCAGTCCTGTTGCACAGGGAGGGACTGCACCTCAGCCGACTGTCTGCTGTACAGAACCGTCTGACCTGCATTAATAAGTCTCTGTTTTCTGTTCATTTATGCAGTTTGTTCTTTTATTAAACAAGTTACTGACTGGAATTATTCATTTTAGGAATAATAAAGGCTTTATTTGGGAATTCAGATTTCTATTCCGTTTTTTCAACAGACACATTTTTCAGGTTTTGGAATTCTGTGAGACTTCCCGCATGGCCGGCTAAACATAACTGATTTCTCAGTTTCAGTTAGATTCAGTTTATACATCTTCAACTGTATAAAGTTTCTATAATAGTGGCGGAATATGGAAGGCAAAAAGTAATCAAAGAAAATGTCGTGGAAAGCTAAGTGGCAGTGCAATTTGAACCTGTTTCTTTACTTTGTGTTTAAACTGTGATGTGATTTCAGGCTCAAGACTTCAGCTCACCATTACTGATATTTAAGGGCTCTCCTTTACCAGTTTCCAAGCATGAACTACTGGATTTGTTTTTAACCACAAGCAAGCCCATGTATTTTGGAGCAGTTTGTTGTTGTTTGATAAGGTTATTCTATGTTTCACTTCTTCAACGTTGCTATGATAAGGGTCATCTGACTGGCAGTGTGCTAACTGTGACTGCAGCCTAAAACACCTGTAGACAGGACAAACGACATGATAATGACATAAAGTCATGCTAATGCATCTCTGTACTAGCAGATATCGTAAATGACAGATCATACGGTGGCTTTTCAATCTTGTTTGCTTGTAATGACATGTGCCACAGCATCATTATAATAAAATGCAGATACCAAACTACAACTTTTAAACATATTATTTAATCATGATGTTGCTACAGAAAACCTGAACTACAGTAGACGTCCTCGCCTGCTGTACCATGGGTGATTCTGAGGGACGTGTCATTACAATTGGACAAGACATGAACATCTGCTGTATGACTCCCCACTATTCTTTGGTTTCAGTGCTGCTGAATTGGTCACTGAGCTCATCGAAGTAATTATCAGCAAAGCGTAGCATCTGAGTGACAGCGGTCAGCAGCAGGATGTCACAGTTCATGTCCAGTTCCAGCTGCTCACTGTAGTTCTTCACCGGAATGACACGGGACAATGGGACGCCGAGCCGATCGCTGACCTCTTGCACCTGGATCACAGAACGCATAGCGCATAAGATTCAGAGAAGGAAAGTCCGTGCTTTTTTAACACCACCAGGACCACGTTAACTTAAGTTCAGTCAAGTTTTAGTGCCTTTAGTCGTTATCACAGCATGGAGGTTGATTTGTGTTATATTTTTGTATTTGTGTCAGGACTACCATTTAAATATGTTTGAAACATTTATAACTTGAGTCATCGCTGTTTAAGTAGAACTCAATTAACTAAACACTGTCTCCTAAAGAACACAGAAGAGGAAAACATACAGCTGTAGCAAGTGAAATACAAAACAGACAATAAGACGAGCTACAAATACAAACAAAGCAGACAATAAATAAGACGAGCTACAAATACAAACAAAATCAGTGAAATTCATGTTGCACATGCCATTCCTTCCATCAAGGCCAAAACTAAGAATATAAAATTCAAACAGCAGACAAAATGTTAAAATTTTCGTTTTTAATTGCATCTGATGTTAGTCTCACCATTTTCTTGATGTAGCTACTCCTATAAATGTTCCTAACATCCTGTGCGACAGACGGACAGGCCTCGTCCACTTTAGTCATCAGGACCAGCTGAGGAATCCCTGGAAACCAACACAAGATGAACACTTTTATGTACTACAGACTTGAAGCTGAAGATCTTCTGTCTCTGCCTCTAAAATCCAGTGAATCAAGTGTAGTCTGACATATAATAAACGTCCCCATTTGTATACAGTATTTTCTAACAGGAAAATAGATATTGCAGTCAGCTGTTTGTTGGACAATGTATGCCGTCACATTTTTTTTTTTTTTTTGTTACGAAATTAGTTATTTTTGTATTGTTTTGCCATTACTTGAATGACTTTTACTGACCCATTAAGTTGACCTTTCTGCGAATAACTGCCAGCTTCTCCTCCAGCTTTGTGGCCATGATGGAGATCTTGCAGGCATCAATGACATAGACCACACAGTGGATCTTGTCATTGAGAGCTGGAGTCTTTCGGTAGCCGTGGGCCCCCGAATGCAGAGGAGCAGAGGGGTTGAACTGAGTCATACAGGTGAAAGAGACCATTTGTTTTGCAGAAACAAAACTGTAACCATGTGTTCTTTGTCTGAATATAACAGATAAACTCTACCTGGTAATGGTTTGGCAGGTGACCTTTGAGGATGGGGATGATGTCATCCACATCAAGCCCCGCCCCAATGTTTTCCTCCAATCCCATGGTATCGCACAAGACAATTGGCAGAGTTTTTCCTTCTCGCCCATTTTTGACCGAGTAGGTGCGAAACTGTCAGGTAAAACGCAATCGAGTTTATCACACAGAAATGTGAATGGTGAAAATTATTTGTAATCTGTAGACCTGACAACACAAAAGTAACTTATGATGCCTTTTTGAAAAGACTGTATATGCAGGACTGGCAAAGCAATGCTAACATGTGGGTGATAATGTTTATCATGTTTTTCTCTGGTTCAGTAGAATGGGAGGTGCTGTGGTGGAACAGGTGGCAGGATTTTACGAGATTTTTGTCAGATTATTCATCATGTGTTTCAGTGCAATTGTAGTAATAATAACAATGTTTATTATTGACAAAATAAGGCTGGAAAATCTATAAAAATGTTACAATGACAGAAAGCAGAAATGTGTTAATGTAGTGATCGTTTCAGCCCTCAGAGGAGCTAACCTGCGTGGTGAGGCTGGTGGTGGAGCTACCAGCCATGGCCTGGCCGGGGACGTGGCCTCTGAACCCCGAGGTGGTGGGTGATAATGTTTATCATGTTTTTCTCTGGTTCAGTAGAATAGGAGGTGCTGTGGTGGAACAGGTGGCAGGATTTTATGAGATTTTTGTCAGATTATTCATCATGTGTTTCAGTGCAATTGTAGTAATAATAACAATGTTTATTATTGACAAAATAAGGCTGGAAAATCTATAAAAATTTTACAATGACAGAAAGCAGAAATGTGTTAATGTAGTGATCGTTTCAGCCCTCAGAGGAGCTAACCTGCGTGGTGAGGCTGGTGGTGGAGCTACCAGCCATGGCCTGGCCGGTGACGTGGCCTCTGAACACAGAGTTGATGGAATTAAAGAAACTAGACTTTCCAGCTCCAACTGGTCCAATGAGCAGGACTCGAACCTGGGACACAGAGTTGACTAAGGGACGATAGAGCATAATGCTGTTCATCATCTCTGTTCTTGTCCTGTTGAAACAAAAACAGTTTTAAAAATCATCTGAAAGGCTATAGTGTGCATATGTAGTATGTTTAGCAGCAGCACTGTGACTTTAAGTTGCCTAACCCCGAATCAACCCAGTTAACTTTAACTGGGTGGATCTATATGCATGAATACCACAGCAAACTAGTACAGCTAGTTCAGTTGCTTCTAATCTGGGTGTCACCAACCTTTTTTTGTGCACGTCAAATAGACTTTGATGTCCTTATAATGCAAAATAGTATGCACAGCCAAGCACATTACACATTATGGTGTGCCTGTGGCTAATCTATTCCCATATAGGGTAGTGTATGTTATAATTTCTTAAAGTCATTTCATATTGTGTGACACGCTTCAGTAAAGAATAGTCTGGTGATTATGTGATGTAAAGTGGTGCCCAGTCCAACTTACTCAGCCTCCCAGATCATTGGCCTCCAGGGCTTCTCAAATTCAGGGGTTTCTGTTGAAAAGCAAAACCCAGTTTTACAAACAGCATTGTCCACTTCTAATAAAATATCTTCCAGCTATTTGATTTTTAATTTGTGAGATACAAATATGCATCAGTACTTGGTTGTTCAGAAAGAGCTTACCTTCCACTTGATAGACTTCACACTCAGTCAGGTTCAGGTCATTGCCATGCATTTCTGCAGCAGGGAAGTTGTAGTATTGTCCTGGATTGCTATGCACCACTGCTTTGCTTCCATTGACAAGAACCAGTGCTTCTCCAAAATATGGACCAGCATTTGCAATCATTCTCACTGCATTTCCAGGAGTAGCGACTGGATACTTAATGAGTTTTTCTCCACTGAAGGTGAAAAGGAAGGCCCGGTCATCATGCGCATACTGACCAGACAGACTGAAAGGTTGCTTAGTATAGCCTCCAAACACAAAACCAGAGGCGTTGTATCCCACAGACACTGTAGGAGAGTGGAAGTCACATCGTTGGTGGAAGGCTGCCCCAGAGAAACCATGGATGCTGGCTTTGTACAGCAGCTGTAGTTTAACTCTTCCCAGCTGGGAGCAGATGGTTTGGTACTGGCTGCTGGTTAGCTTGGAGTTCATGTTAGATGGTTGTTCCACTGAAGTTCCTGATGAAGTTCACTTAGTGTAGTGTGTCAAAATAGACTGCATTAAAGAAAAATGAAGAAAAATACTGTTTGGGGTTTTTGTGAGATTAACTGACCCAGCTGGGCTCATTTAGAACAGATGCAGGTTCCAGGTTAACACACTAAAACAGCTATTTCAAGTTAAATGCACCAGACATTTCAACCTGGCTTTGGTGCACATGTACATCAATAAGTGAACACATCACCATTCAAATGCACTTCAGTACCTAAAGCATGTTATCACAATTAATAGCACCTTTAAGTAATTTAGTGATTTGGTAACAAAATATTAACTAAATATTAGTTTGTTAATTAAGCATTATTGTTTTTATAAAATATTTTACATTTTATAATTTTATAAAGAAAAGCTAGATAAAACTCTTTTGTTATGTAGCATATCAGTCAATACAGCCTAAGAACGGGCAACAGTTTAAAAGTAAAATATGGCAAATATATTTAAAACTGCTTAGTTTTACCTGGTCAGTAGAATAAGTTGAGAGAAACGGAGCTTAACCACTCCCAGATGGATGAAGATGTGCACTAGGTGTTGCAGAGGAAGTCATAGAGAGGTGCCTTCAAAGTAAGAGTTAAGGTCAGTCTTCTAAAGTCTTCATTTTTAAGCCTGGAAAGGATTTTTAACAGGATGACAAGAATCTTACACGCAACATGTGTGTTTTTTTTTATGTGATCTTGTATTTCTTTATCAAATTTAAAATAAAATTAAACTGCTACTGTTGCTATTCCGCCTTATCTGTCGGATATATGTACTTAAGTGTGTTGTTTTTTGTTTGCTTGTTGTTGTTGTTTTTACTTTCCAGTTTTTGTCCCAATTTAAAATAAGAACAGTCATTTTACTTTGAAGGTTATCACTACGTGTTAGGTGCCTTGACTTTAACTTTCATTTCTCTGTAAACCCCATTCATGTCATTGGCTGCGTCCGAAACCGCCTACTACCATACTGTATAGTAGGCGAGGCGAGTAGTATGTCCGGATTCGTAGTATTCCAAAAACGCTGCTCTGGATGACATTTTCTTTATTAGTAAACAACAGAACTGAGCATGAGTGTGAGTAGACTGTAAACAAAGTGAAAAGCTTGGGGGTCAAAGTAGTTACAGTTATTTATTAAGAAGAATTTAAAAACAGGAAACCTCAGATTTACACCTTTCTTTCGATCTAGGTATGTTATGATAATGTACCAGTGTAATGGGCTGTCGTCGGGTGGGCGGGGCTTATCGATTAGGAAGGGAGCGCTTGTCAGGAGGGTTTGCTGCGTGTTATTAATCCAGCGACGTGTGATTGTTTTGCCTGTTTTGTGTTTCTTCTTGGTTCAGCACCTTGTGCGTGCTACCTACCAGTAACTAGAGCTAACTGTAACCGGCGGATTGGCCACGCCTACACCGCCTGGTTAGACGTTGATATTAATGTTATTATGTTAATGCTTCCGTACGCTGTTTAGCTTTAGCCGTCCATTTTAAATTAAGCTCATACTCATATCAGAAGGTTTTATTGATAGTGGAAGCAATGTCAGGATTTAATCAGAAACCATCAGTAAGTAACTTCCCGTTAAAGAATGGTGTCCTGTTAACAATGGAGAGAATTTCATGTGTAAATCTAGATTACTAAAGGTCTTTGAGTATCCAGAAATGAAGACTAACTGGAGGATGACTTGTATAAAAGCTGCGAGTAATGGAGTCTTGTAATATTTTCCTTTTTGAGGTTAACAACTGAGGGAGACCACATGTGAAATTAATTCACTGCTCAGTGCTTATCAGGGTTAGATATTGTGTAGAAAATACTAAACAGACAGATGTGCTCTTCAAATGAAGATTTTTCATTGTAAATTTTTATCATTTATTTGTGAAACTTGTCTTATTCTACTCTTGTTCTACATTCAAGGTGGAGGAGAATCCTGTCTTTGTTGGCTCAACATACAAGATGCTCCAGATCAACAATGGGGAAACACATGCTTTACGTTTTCCCTCCCTTACAAATTGACACTACATCCCTTCTCTAAGCTGTGGATGGGTAAGTTCGCCAGAACAATAGAAACAATGGTCTAATTTCATACATAAAGAATATTTTGTACAAATCTTCAGTGATGCTCTGGGCGGGCATTTTTAGGATGCAGCATATGGGGCGGTGGTTTATTGTATTGTATGAAGGACGTTCTTCATGAATAAAGGTAGGTGACACTAATCTGAAATGAGGTGGATTCACTAGCTTTTGTAACTACCATTATAGGCTTTCTCATCCATTGTTGGCTTCATTGTAAATTCTGAATATAGACCTTGTGGTGTGATCAAAACATACAAAGGTGCTAAAATATTCCTGTAGAATTTTATTGACTGTACTAGTATTTTATTACCCATGTTCACTTACTGTATTTTGGGAAAATGCACAACAGTAGGACTAACCATACTTCACATAGATGTATATACTGTACAATATTTATGTAGTTCATTTCCCCACTATTTCATTAAAGTTTAACTGAAACAATGCATTTCGACACCTTTCATGTATATTATACACTGCAATGTATTTGTTGAATGCAGTGCACCTGAGTACAACAACTCAAGGCATGCGGCCCAGTGAAGAAAACCCAAAACATTGTGGGCTCACACTACAAACCTCCAGACAATTCAGATGGTAAGTAAATTGTTCAGACCATTGTGAAATGTTGCATCAAATTCTTATTACTGTGGATGGCTTCTCAGTGAAGTTTTATCATTTCTTCAGTTTAGTATTGCTTTCAGCTCAAGCTTTTTCCATTTCCATCTTAGGCAATGCTTAACCAGATGTCATTCCATGGCCAGACCATCATCTGCAGCATTCTTGAGGATGTGCAACAGGCAAGTTTTTTTTATAAACTTAATCAAAGCTGCTTACAAGTTAACTTCTGCATCATACTTTCCTGTTCTTAACTGAGCCATTTAAAAGATAATTCTGTTTGCCAGCTATACTATTAATTTGCTGTGTTGCACTTCTGAGCCTCTCCTCCTCTACTCACCTGAGCGTTCCTTCATTTTCCTAGCCTATGCTTACTAGTCACATTAATGTAGTAACAGCATCAAACTCTGTTGAAAAATGACTGTACATAAGGGCAATAGAGGAATCGGTTATTTTTAGTTTCTCCTTCACATCTCACCGTACCTTTTTACACGCTAGATTTGTCTAACTTGAGTTTAGTTCCCCACCCCCCGAATTAGATCATGTGTGTCACCTCCTTCCCAGTGCACATGCCTCTGTAAATGGGCTCTGTAGAAAACAAGGTGAATACAGTGTCCAGACATAAAGAGATGTACAGAGGAAATGACAGATGTACAAACCACCACTCAGGCTGACTGTAGATATTTGTTCAGCCTTTGATTTTGACTCACTTTTAAGATAAACACACTGGGCATCACCTGCTATCGTGATCTCCAGCTCAGCCAAGGAGAGGTCTGTTGGCTCAGTCAGGAACATGTTGACATCTCCCACTGTGCACTGTTCCTCTTCTATACTGGGATCTGCCCATTGCTGCTTATCCAAGATGATGAATGTGCACTTTGGCAAAAAAAGTCAAATTAAACAGCTTTTCTTTAAGTAAAAGTTGAATGATTTTACCAATGCATAACCTCAGAAAGAATGATGTCTTATTTTCATATCAAATCCAATTATTACCAGTTCTTTATAAGCACTTTAACCTACCAAACCTGGTGGATGATGGTACAAATGTCTGGAAGCAATGACTTGGAAGCCATAAGGACAGAACTTGAAAGCAGTGTTGACCTCATAAAGCAAAAGTCACTGAATCATATTTCACTTTATCCTATCATAAGTTGTATTAAATAAGCTTCTGTTATATGGACAATGTGTTAGCTTTGAATTCTGAATGTTAAAAACTTGCTACTCTAACTTTGAATACGTTAACAAAAGTAAAAGAAGTTCTCTCACATTTATCTTTCCAGACACTGCTGAATTGGTTCAACCAAAGATTTTCTTCTCGCTCTGTTTTATTATTTAGGCCTTCAGATTTATAACAACTACTTTAGAGGATGAATAAGAGCATGTTCTGTCTGTACATTTACTACAGAAGAAGTCTTACTGTCATCATCTTCCCTCCAGCTACCCTGCATGTCGTACTCCTGTTCCAGGGTCAGTGGCTCTGAGGCGCTCAGATGCTGCAACTCAGGACACTTCATCCATTCGTGATACCTGAAGAGTGTAAACAGTCTCTGAGACGGTCAGATGCTGCAACTCAGGACACTTCATCCATTCGTGATACCTGAAGAGTGTAAACAGGTGGATAAGAGACAGTGACTGCAGGTTTCTACAGCTTTAACTTAATCATGTAACCAGATGTCAAAGGACTGGAGCTGGTTCTGCTGTGCCAGTTAAAGAGACTTCAAACTGTCAAAGGATCAAAAGTTTGTATTGACAGCTGGGTCAGATGTGTCATCTGTCCTAAGTTACTTCTTCACCTTGTGCCAGCATGGACAAAAAGCTTTCAAATGCTCCATCCATCTGCCATATTTAATCATTGATAGTAAAGAAACGACATTCAAACCCTCATCACTAAAGATATCAACAGAGAAAGTAAAAGTGACAGGCTTCACGTGTGTAACAAGACTGATCAAGTGTTAACGTTAATGTTACCTGGGCACGTGGTTTGCATTGTAAGGAACCAACACAACTTTGTGTCCCTCCAGTAGTGTTCTCATTTATCTTCATGGTGCCAAACCAGATACAAACGCTAATAGCGTTAATACATTCATTTATTCTATTTATTTTCCCCACTGAATGTTGCTCGCCTGGCACACACGGCAAATTTGTTTTTCTTTCGGGGTTGCTTCCGGTTTGAAGTGACGCAAGGCCGCTTGTCAGTCAAATGTCACCGAGGTGGCCAATGGGCACTAAGCCCACCCCCACTTAAAAATGGGTTCAAATAGTTTTAAGTTTCTAATAATTCTCCACAGACTCTGGCCAATAACAAGAACTTTATTTTCATTGAAAACTCAAAGGACACACAACATAACAATAATTGCAATTTTCTCTTCCAATACAAAGATCTGAGAAAATTGTTTTCCTGGTAGGAAAAAACACATGGGTGAAAACATGGTCTGGAATAACTTAAGACCAAAATGTCACAAACACTTTGGATAAATGCAAAATCACAAATGAAATGTTTTGTGTAAATACTTTACCAAATTTGTCAAAACTCAGTCCTAGATGAAAATATTTGCAACATTAATGCAACATCAACACTATATGAAAGAATACTGTAGATGATGATACCAGGGCAAAGGTAAATGTGCACAGCTCTCTTTTTTAGAGGACTAAGACTCCCATTTCCAGACTGGAGCTATCATTTGGTGCGATTCAGGTTCAAATATTATCATTCTTCTCTGGCCACCTAAATAAGATTTAAGAAGGTAGTGCAGATTAGTTCTGATAAATGGCCTTTGTAACTGAAGCTGAACAAAAATATGATGATGCAAAGGTTAATAATGTGATAATGGAGTGAAGATAAATGTTAACTTGTGATGAAATATCCAAATAAATGAGTCAATGTATTCAGACTTTCAGAGGAAGAGGTGCACCGGGTTTCAGAGAAGAATTCTGAGCTTCCCTGCTAACTCAGGATGACCTGTTAGTATATAGATGGATCAGTGTAAGGGACGTTTCTTTATAGTTGCTCAGGTTATTATACCGGCTACACAGTACCCTCTACTCTTTGGTTTTAAGGCTGCTGAACTGGTCACTGATCTCATCGAAGTAATTATCAGCAAAACGAAGCATCTGGATGATGGCGCTGAGCAGCAGGATGTCGCAGTTCAGGTCCAACTCCAGCTCCTCACTGTAGTTCCTCACTGGGACAACACAGGACAATGGCACACCAAGCCGAGCACCGGCCTCCTGCATCTGGATCACAAAACGCACAACACACATGACGGACAAATCAGGAACGATCTGCACTGTTCATAAACACTTCTCTAATAGCTTCTAATGTAAGACTTGGCGATACTATATCAGTGAATCATTAGGTAATGATTAGGTCATAATTATGGCTAATCGATGACTCCGCACTTCATGACTCATTCTTGATTTCCTGCCATTCAAATATTGTAAGGTGCAAAATAGTAACTAATCATTCATTACTCATTATTTCAATCTGTTACTTTTGTGAACCCTCAAATATTCATATATCATACTAATTAATTAGCCTGCAAAGTAGTTCATCTACTTCCTTCCTGTTATGTGACCCCTCACCTCTCCATTACCTGTACAGCATGTGTTGCCTCAGGCATTAATACATTTGTTGAGTAATTACTCAGCAGTCCCTCATTACTTCACGATTAGCACATCATTAGGTCTACCTACTCTTTATGTCTGTAAAGTGTAAAAATCATATCTATATCCTGTGTGTGTGTGTAAATACATACTGAATATTAAAAAAATACATATATATGTAATAAACTTTATGCCTGTAGTTTTTGTTTGCTGTTATGTCCTTTCCACACAGGTCCAGAATTATTTTTTTCTTTCACAGAACATGGAAACAATAATTGTGAAGATTACATGAAGTAGGCCTGCTTAGAAAAAACTTTTATTTTACTTGATGAGGAAATAAACAGTAGGTAATGGTAAGGTAATCATGACATAATGCTAAGTGCTACTGAGTAACTACTCAGTATGATGCCTGATTTTAAATCTTAAAATCCTCACCATGTCCTTAATGTAGACACTCTTGTAAACGTTTCTCACATCGTCTGCCACCAGAGGGCAAGCTTCGTCAACTTTAGTGAGCAGGACCAGCTGAGGAATCCCTGAAAACAACAGAGGCAGAAAGAAAATTCCAAAAATGCTTTAGATTTTTTGCTATCAGTCTGTCACAATAGTGAAATAGGATGTGTAAAACACTTTTGTTGTGTGATTTAGTGTAGATCGATGAGTAAAAATGGCAATTTTATCCATCTAAATTGTGCAAAAAGGAAAGAGGTCTGCATATTTTCTGAAGCCACTGTATAACAGATGGCTAGATGTGGCAGCCAGGAGTGTATGACATATGTAAGCATTTGCAAATGAGCCGTTTGGCTGAATCAGCTCCAGTTCAGGAGGAATGCATCGTTATTTAAACATATAGAGTTGATATATTGTGCCAAGGCTCTGTCGCTCCCCCAGCACTGCAGAGACTGAGAAATGATGATTATTACATTGCATTAGAGACAGACACCAGTCATGATGTGGAACAGAATGGGACTATGCTGTGATCAGAAGTGCACCAGCTCCTTTCAAAGCCAAGGGGCAGCTACCCCATTCTAATACAAGATCACTTACAGTATTTCACTCCCTTGAGTAGCCAGAATCTCAAAAAGCATATTGCTTTGCTGCTGAATGATCATTTATAAGCTTTTGTGCTTAGGTGGGTGGAGGCCCACATGTAGCTCTGCCTGACACCAAAGCTCCAGGTCACATTTAGGGGCTTCTTAAGAACAGATTCCCAAGAATACACTGGAGCTAGTGGTGTTCAGAAAAAGTCCAAGTCAGCTTTATCATGACTGTGTGGCCCACAGCATGTTACAAAGTACAGTCTTTATAAAATAATAAAGATATAATACACTTAAAAATATTAGTAAAGTAAAATTCCTATATTACATATTCAACATATAGAGCTCCTTCTTCCATTTCTTTTATTATGTTGAGGCTCAAGAGGGGGGACCGGAGGGTGTGTTCCAACTATAGGGGGATCACATTCCTCAGCCTCCCCGGGAAAGTCTATGCCAGGGTACTGGAGAGGAGAATTCGACCGATAGTCGAACCTCGGATTCAGGAGGAACAATGCGGTTTTCGTCCTGGCCGTGGAACACTGGACCAGCTCTATACCCTCTTCAGGGTGGCGGAGGGTTCATGGGAGTTTGCCCAACCAGTCCACATGTGCTTCGTGGATCTGGAGAAGGCATTCGAACGTGTCCCTCGCAGCGCCCTGTGGGGGGGTGCTCTGGGAGTACGGGGTCCGGGGCCCTTTCCTAAGGGCTGTCTGGTCCCTGTACGACCGGAGCAGGAGCTTGGTTCGCATCGCCGGCAGTAAGTCAGACTTGTTTCCAGTGCATGTTGGACTCCGGCAGGGCTGCCCTTTGTCACTGGTTCTGTTCATTATCTTTATGGACAGAATTTCTAGGCGCAGCCAGGGGCGGAACGCCTCGGCATGCCCCCGGAGAAGCTGGAGGAAGTGTCTGGAGAGAGGGAAGTCTGGGCATCTTTGCTTGGACTGCTGCCCCCGCGACCCGGTCCCGGATAAGCGGAGGAAATTGGATGGATGGATGTTGAGGTCCAGAAATCATATGCTCATATTTTTAAGACCATGCATGTATGTCTTCATTATGACGAAGTGGTACTCAGTTTTACTGACCCATTAAGTTGATTTTTCTGCGGATAGCTTCCAGCTTTTCCCCCAGCTTTGTGGGCATGATGGAGATCTTGCAGGCATCAATGACATAGACCACACAGTGGATCTTGTCCTTAGGCCTCGAAGACTTACGGTAGCCGTGGGTGTCCGAATGCAGAGGAGCAGAGGGGTTGAACTGAAAGAGGAACAACTCTTTAAGGCATTCTCTAGAGAATTCCACAATTTTATGCCAAATGAAATATACATCTGCTTTAACATTGTCCATGCATACTGGAGTTTAAAAATGTATTTCCTTCTACTGAACAACTCTACCTGATAACGGTCTGGCAGGTGACCTTTAAGGATACCGCTGATGTCATCTATATTAAGCCCCGCCCGTGTGCTTCCAGCCCTCAGAGGAGCTAACCTGCGTGGTGAGGCTGGTGGTGGAGCTACCAGCCATGGCCTGGCCGGTGACGTGGCCTCTGAACACAGAGTTGATGGAATTAAAGAAACTAGACTTTCCAGCTCCAACTGATCCAATGAGCAGGATTCGAGCCTGGGACACAGAGTCGACTGTGGGCTTGTATGCCTTAATACTCTCTATCAGCTCATGCCTCTTCCTGTTGAAACAAAAATACTCTTAACTAGTGAAAAGTTGTTAGCTGTTTTTGGCCCAGCTGTTGCAGAGCTTTTTGGTGCACAGCCAGTTGATCTCCATGATATTTGCAGTTTTCATGGTTGTCAACTATACAGTTAAAAGCAGTACACCACAGGAAGCATGCTAAACAACTGTACTACAGATTCATAAACGCACAATGCTGATACGATATGCACAGTCAAGCACAGCAGAACTGCATGCATGTGGAACACGTTTATTATCACATCCAAATGATTACTATATATTACTGATTTTCTGATAATCAATTCAATCAATCAATCATAACATATATAGTTAGCATACTGTACTTTAGTAAACCGTGTTAACAGTATTATTTGTAGGATGGTGTGTCAATGCATCTTACTCAGGTTCCCAGATTACTGTCCTCCATGGTTTCTCAAGTTCTGTGGTTTCTGTTAAAGAACAAATACATATCAGGATAAATCTTTTGATATGAATTCTCTTGTGTTTTTATGCTTTATACTTATATTCATGCCATATTTATTTTTATATATGTATTCATATTCACCATTTGAAAAATTTGTTTGTTAGCAAGTCTATTTAGCTTTGTCTTCAAAAAAAGTATGTGAACAATCATAGATGTACATGTGAAGGAATCCAATAGGAGGACACCAGTTTGTAGGGATGCACAGATCATGACACATGATGAGCTGTATATCATAGACCACTTATGGATCTGCCACAACAAAGAATCCAAATACAATTGGTTTCAAACATGCCAAGCATCAATACTTGGTTACCTTCAACTTCATAGACTTCACACTCAGTCAGGTTCAGGTTATTGCCATGCATTTCTGCAGGAGGGAAGTTGTAGTATTGTCCTGGATTGCTATGCACCACTGCTTTGCTTCCATTGACAAGAACCAGTGCTTCTCCAAAATATGGACCAGCATTTGCAATCATTCTCACTGCATTTCCAGGAGTAGCGACTGGATACTTAATGAGTTTTTCTCCACTGAAGGTGAAAAGGAAGGCCCGGTCATCATGCGCATACTGACCAGACAGACTGAAAGGTTGCTTAGTATAGCCTCCAAACACAAAACCAGAGGCGTTGTATCCCACAGACACTGTAGGAGAGTGGTTGTCACATCGTTGGTGGAAGGCTGCCCCGGTGAAACCATGGGTGCTGGCTTTGTACAGCAGCTGTAGTTTGACTCTTCCCAGCTGGGAGCAGATGGTTTTGTGCTGGCTTCTGGTTAGCTTGGAGTTCATAGTGGACAGTCGGTCTGCTGGCTGTGTAAAAGACACTGAATAAACTGTTGATGTTTACTCGCTTTGGTATCTAAAAACAAAAAGAAACAGATGCATTAAAAAATACAGGATATTTAAACAAACTGAGATGCATCATCTGGTAGCACCCAGTGTTCGATTTGTTTGTAAAGTCATGCAAATAACTGTGCCTGCCATCCTAATCGAATCATGCTGATAAGAAAAACATAATAAAATACAAACAAAATAAAAATAGTAAAACTACAAACAAGCACATTTTTAAAATGAAGCTAAAAGAACCATTGAAAAGCAACACAAACTAAAAATCTAATCAAAATGAGTTTCCTTCCTTCTGGGCTGAACCTGGGTGAAACTGAAATAACATGAAATTGCTTTATACTCCTAAAAGAATGTGCCAGATGAATTGTGTTAAAAATAAGTAGACCTAAATGAAAAATACTTAATAGCCTCTGTCAAAGTTTCAAGCCTCAAATGTGGCCTAGAACTTCTGTTGTCTTCAACACATGGACAGAATCAATATTCTTGTTCCTTCTTTGATTTGCTACCTAAAATACTGGAGATTTTTATATTTAGTCAAATACCACAATTTATAAAATAAAAAATATTCTTTAGTTTACTTTAGGCTGATGTTATTCCTCCTCTGCATTTGATGAAATAAGCAAAGAGTATAATTTTAAACATCCTAAAAGTCTTGTATTAAAAAGGGTTATAGATTGTTAGCCTACAGGTAGGCTGAACAAAAAAAAAACTTGATTTCCCGTAGACTCACATGATGGACAGACTGCTACCAATACACCTCGACAGAAGACAAGAAAATGTCAGTGTGAATCTGTTGTGGCAGGCACCTCAGATCTGCATAGAAACAACCAGTTTTCACTTAACAGCAGCACTTACTGTAAGAGGTGTGGTCACTGAAACAGAAACGAAAAGGACACTGCTGCTAATGTTGTACAATTGAAACTGAAAGTAAATTCTGTTCTTATATTTTGCAGCTCACTGCACCACTCACTCACAACACTGTGACCTCAGAGTAAACACAGTGGGGTGATTTTAACAGCTGTCATTCCTGGAGCAAACATCTGGATGTATAGCCCATAGGCTACCTCATAATACGAACACATGCATTTGCCTGCCTCTGGATATCAATGACAGTTTCATTTTACTGTTTAGCAAAGTTGAGCGCTCTAAAAAAAAAAAAAAGCATAATAATAATCTAAAATAAAGTTGTTGAACTTCACACTAAATTGGCAAAACATGATAAAGATGAAACTGTGAACAGAATATTCAGTGTGTGTGACATTTCTAAGTTAGCCGTTTGCAATCATATCTAAACTTTGAAATGAATTCAGATGAAAAGTAATTTTGATTCTTAAACTAAAGAAATAATTTACCCCAGTGGAGAAAACCAAAACCACCTGTACATGACAGGTTGGTACCATTTATAAATCTAATTCCTACCTAGTGTTAGAGTATATTAAAACAAATCCCGGTGATCAAGGCCCACCAGGTTTAGGAGTGAGATATTAATCCTTATGGCATCTTATTCCAAGTTTAGGAATAACACAGTAGGCTATAGTCTACTTCATATTATATAGACTATTTTCCATTATATTTGTTACACAAAGGTCAGTTAGAACCATCACAACCTTGCCACACCTTCAGCCACAAAGACCAGTAAGCATTAAAACCCCACTGATTATATTAAAGTGTGACAAACAATGCAAACCCAACTAATAGCTTATCTTATGTCTTACCTCCTTCTCCTTGAGATAGAAGAGGACTGGCGCCCACGTTCCACAGTCACTGAGGGCAGCTTGTAGTGTGGTGTGGGTGTGTCAGGCTGGCAGTTCACTCTCAGGAGCTGAGAGAAATGAAAGTGAAAGCCCTGGAATACAACAGTTACCTACTAATAAAACTTTATTTGCCTCTGGATAAGGCAATTAAGGTGTATGCTGAAGACAATGAAGGCCATTGTGTTTTTAAAGTGTGTGCTCAATTTAAAACAACATAAAAAGAACAATATCTAAACAGTTTCCAGAAAATAAACTTAATTATGAGATTCAAAATTCCAAATCTATATAAATGCCTATGTTCTATAATCTTAAATTACCTGTCTGAACCACAGGTCACTATTCTCTAAGAAGGGTCTGTTTGTTAGGATCTGCTCTGCTTAGAGACTGATCAAATGCAAAGCTGAAGCTATGAAAGCTAGTTCCTGTTACATGTATGCCCATTATACTGGTTTTAATCATATTCAGGATACAATATATACCTGTATGATTCTAAGATCATCCAAACTGCTATTCGTCTGTGCAGGAGTGTCTCTGATCCACATTACAGTCTAATGAATATAATTATTTACTTGGGTTATGGTTTTTGTATTTAACCTATTACTAGGTCCCCAGAGTGGGTATGAGGCTGTGCCATCATAAATCAGCTAGGCCCCATGACAGGTGACAACATTCTCTAGTCCTAACCTACAGTACCTTAAAACTATCCTGACATACTTTTAAGCTGCTTTTAACTCCTACCCTCACCCAAGCAAAGAGTAAATACGCAGCAGCTTGACCCAGCTTCATATCGCCTGTATATTGTATTTGGTTGAGTTAAACTGCAACAGAAATGACCTAATACACCTTTAAAGCTCTTCAGCTGTACCCACACCCAAGCAAAGAACAGTTACTTGGCAGCATGACCCAACCTTTTATCTTTATTGTGTTTGCTCAGGTTAAGCTACAGTAGCTGGCTCAGCTGACTTGCAAGACAGTTTAGTCAAAGGGCCAAGCTCGCTCAGTTGTCCACCCACCATCTCTATAATTCCACTAATATCACCAATATCAATGACTTAGAAACCCGTCTGAATTATTATGCCCTTCAAGCAACTTAAAGTAATGTGAACCATACCCTCAGAATCAGTAAAGCAATACTGAAGCTATGTTTTACAGCTGGATAGCTCAGCATTAACAGCATATAACAATCCTGTTTTCTGTTATGGTTTCTAAAATATCCAAAAAGAAAATGTCAGTGTGAATCTGTTGTGGCAGGCACCTCATATCATCATCGAAACAACCAGTTTTCACTTAACAGCAGCACTTACTGTAAGAGGTGTGGTCACTGAAACAGAAACGAAAAGGACACTGCTGCTAATGTTGTACAATTGAAACTGAAAGTAAATTCTGTTCTTATATTTTGCAGCTCACTGCACCACTCACTCACAACACTGTGACCTCAGAGTAAACACAGTGGGGTGATTTTAACAGCTGTCATTCCTGGAGCAAACATCTGGATGTATAGCCCATAGGCTACCTCATAATACGAACACATGCATTTGCCTGCCTCTGGATATCAATGACAGTTTCATTTTACTGTTTAGCAAAGTTGAGCGCTCTAAAAAAAAAAAAAAAGCATAATAATAATCTAAAATAAAGTTGTTGAACTTCACACTAAATTGGCAAAACATGATAAAGATGAAACTGTGAACAGAATATTCAGTGTGTGTGACATTTCTAAGTTAGCCGTTTGCAATCATATCTAAACTTTGAAATGAATTCAGATGAAAAGTAATTTTGATTCTTAAACTAAAGAAATAATTTACCCCAGTGGAGAAAACCAAAACCACCTGTACATGACAGGTTGGTACCATTTATAAATCTAATTCCTACCTAGTGTTAGAGAATATATCAAGTACAAGAAAACTGGAGAATGTGAATGAAGAGAGCAATTCTGTTTGTACTGTACAAATGGTTCCTGACTGAGGCCCAGTGCCCTTCATCCAAAGCAGAATACCCATACAAAAAAAAATACAAAGTCCCAATTTTATTCTGAATTATACATTTTTGTCCATGAAACAGAGAGAAAGCAAAATTTTACACAGCAGTGTGAATCCCCTTTAAACTGCAGAGGCTCTTTAACTGTCAACACTGAATTATAAATATGAATGACAAGTTTGGCAATTTTGCTTGAAAAGACACATTTGAGAAATCTATAGGCTATGGTCTATCTTTGGACCTGTGTATTGTGGTGTGTTGTCCTGGAAATACAGGTCAACATACTGCAGGATGTGGTCGACAGCACTGAGAAGCAGTATGTCGGTGTTCATATTCAGGTCCACCTCTGACGAGTAGTTCTTCACAGGGACCATGTAGGAGGTGGACATACCTAGCAGAGCTCCAGCTTTACTCATCTACAGTACAAACACATACACAAACACTGTAAGATGACTAGAAGGTTTTCCAAGAATAACCAGCACTGTACACTTGTAGCCACATCATATGTAGATGGGCTGTCCCACTGAGAGCAAAGATCACGACATCCTAAGTAATACATACTGTATATTAAAACAAATTCTATCTAGCCCACTAAGTTAAAATATATATACAGTATACTGCGAGTTGCTGAATCTGTAATGTTTTCTGTGCTAATACAAGTATGCAGTGTCCTCACAGGTCTGTTATATGGCATGTTGGCAAAATGTCTGTCTTGTGCATTACATCGGTAATGTGTGTAGCGTACTCCCATTTCCCTTTTACTGACAATTTCGAGGAACCAGTTCTAAGTCTGAATTGCACACTCAAACTGCACATTTTTTTAGACTGCACATTTATTTCACCCTACCATCTCCTGAATGATGCCGCTCTTATAAACCTGGGTGACGTCTTTGGCTGTTTCTGGACAAATCTGGTCAATGTGAGTCAGCAGCGCCACCTGGTGAACACCTAACACAGGAATTACAATGCTGTCATTCATTCAGCTTCACTGCAAAGATGAGCACCACCTAATTGTTATGTTCTAGATAAATACACAAAAACAAAATATAATGCAGTAGAGGGTAAACATGAAAATCAAAAAAATAATTAAATATTTCAGGACAAAACCCACTGACTGAACAGTTCTTCCAGCCTGTTTTGTCTACATTTCATTTATGTGGCAGGCATAATACTACAGAATTACTTAAATGTAGTAAAAGTCAGGACACACTGCAGGACTGAAAGACAAGCTCCACTGAACACCAGTCTGTGTGTATTCAACTGCTTGTTTGTCTTCTGCTCACCCAGGTCACTGATGTGTTCTCGGAGCTGCTGGAAGGTGGTGCTGAGGCCTTTGGGGTAGGTCAGGATTTCAGTGGCATCCACCACAAAGGCCACACAATGGATTTTGTCTTTAAAGTTTGGCCTCTTCACATAGCCTATGGTCTCTGACCTCACTGGCTGATCTGAGCTAAACTGGAGGAGAGAAATCAAGACATTAAATCATGAAAAAAGGTTTTGTGTTAGCATGCAAACATTTGACTAATAGCACTAAACAGGTTGATGTCAAGAACAATCACTAAAGTCACAAAGATTTATCCTCTGGGGACCCTGAATGTCAGTACAAAGAGTTTATACCACCATTGTCAAAAAGAGCAGAGATCTGGACAGCGGAGATAGCTGTTCATTATGCTAACATCCCAGTGAGTGATTATAATGTTTAGAAATATAAGTGATGGTTTGATTAAAAAGTTATGAAGTTTTCACAAGTTGATTTAAAACAAAAAAGTTTAGTATGACTGCTGTGCACCTAACATTTGACATGAGTTTTGTGTGAAAAGGGGAAGTCAGCAGACAGACCTCCAAATGAGGACGTCTAGGGAGGGATGTCTGGGGTGTGATGCTCTGTAAGTAACTGTGAGAAAGAGCTGAACTTATTGGAAAAAAGGAGACGACTTAAGCCATCATGCACCGTTCATGTCTGTCAATGAGGATGCGTGGGAAGAAATGTCATTGTTGTGTATGAAAAGTATAAAGACCCTAACATTTTGAAGTTACTAAGTCTTCTTTGAGTGGCTGGGGGAATCCTTATCAGATGGGGACTAGACTTGCTCTGGGTAAGAGCAGATGGAGGTCTTGGCTGTGAGCCCAGGACAAAGAGGTACTACATGGAGGAATCGGCGTTTGAGGCCAAGAACATTCAAGACAAGTGGGCAATCAACTGAAAGACGCAGAGAAAGATGTAGAAAAGCTTCAGGCTGCTCCTACCTATACAAGATCCAGAGAACCCCATGGTCATCATTTTTGGGACTTTTGACCACCCACCTAGTCAAGATCAATTTCACTTTCCTAAGTCCTATGAGGTTGTGAGTAATGATGTTACATGTTACACCTTAGCTGTGAAGCTTGTGTCAAGCAGAGGGGTCATTTCCATACGAAGCCTTGCTTCAAAGCTTGTGTTGTTTCCCTGTCACATGACAAACAAGGTTTTGTTTTGCCAGAATCACGTTAATGATTAGTTTTGCACTTCGAGTGCACTGAGCAGAGGCTCGTTGACATGGATGATTCCCCTCTACTCCTCTCAGTATACTGCACACCCCTAGTAGCATGATACTTGTCAAACGGTGTCTTTTATGTAATGGAGATACAAACAAAGAGAAGGACTTTGTAAATGTTTTGGGCTGACTATTCTAAATAAAGGTCAGGAACAAATACCCTGAACAGTTACACAAGCACATACAGTCGATCACAGCACTTTTAATACTCACAAAACTGTCTATCATACCCAAGTATAGCATCACTGACAGCTGTCAGCGAAGACTGCAACATTATTAGACACTAATTGTCCACTATAATTGTGTTATGCCAAACTTGTAATGTCAGGGTCTCTTTGCTACACAAAACGTGTCAACTAGATGTCAGTAATAATGAGCTCTGAAATGAGGCTGGGAAGCCTTGACACCTAAATGAGGCTTCATCTCACCATCACTTTCTATGAGTAGTAATTTAGTCAGGATAGGCAATATACAGCTGAACAGGGCTGATTATGATCTATACAACTCATTTTTAACATTAAATATGTTTTACTGCTTTCACTGTTAGCTTCTGCATCTGCTAAATTAATTATATACTGTAGTTAATAAAACAAAGACATTTTACTATATCATTTGAATAAGGGCTTCTTTAAAGTATTAGCAGCCTCTCCTCACGAATATAAAATAACAGATTTGTGTGGCTAAGCCAGGTCCATAGATGAAAGCTGTAGCAGTAAAAGTATACTTACAACTAAATTATTTTCCAGAAACCACAACAACTGTGACCAAATGAAAGAAGCTGTCTTTAGCTAGTGTTTTTATTCGCATTATGCGGTCAGGGCAGTAAGGTCCTAGTAAAGACGAAGCGGGGAAGACTTTAGGAAGAAGACGATCCTCCACCTCAGCCTAAATTTCTGATTATTACTATTTAACCATAGGCAGGCCAGTCTTACCACTTTAATGCGAGGGCTGAGCTGGACTATTGTACTGGAATCCAGGATAACACTATCCAGTAGGTGTTGAGCTATTTCATTCTGGACAGAAGCAGTAGACCAAACCGACATTGCTGTCTTTGTTGACCAATAACAATATTGATGCTGCTTACTTTGTGTCCCTCAGGAACATGGCCTTTAATAACGGACAGGATGTCATGGAGGGTCAGTCCAGTCATTTCTCCATCTCCCAGGCCCATAATATCACACAACACCAGCCCAGTAGGATCTTCTCCCTTCTGACCACGGATGTTGAAGGACTGCAGCTGACACAAGCAAAAAGAAACTTAATGGGAACCACCTACCTGCTGATTGGAGGTTTCCACCAACATTGTCTACTTAAGACATTCTTTGCATCACTGTTATACAGGCCTTTGTGAACAGTATCTGAGGAAATATCTTAAATATGTGAATTCTACACAGATGTCATGCCCACCTTTCGAGCATAGGTGCTCACAACTAAACTAAAAATGGAAAAGAAAAACCCTGAACACTGCCGTTTTTGTGTACAACATGGAAATGACTGAATGTTTGACAACAGATGGGTATTCTCAATGTGATGAAGCATTGTGAAAGAGAAAGTGTGTGGTGGTTTTTTTCTTCTGTGGGTGAATTGATCAGTATCCTTATGAAGTAAGCTGGGATTCAGTGCCTGGCTCAAAGGCTTTTCACTCCCACAATGCATTTCAGCTAATGTTTGTATTTCCCCACAAAAAAGGATCAACAGATTTCTCAGTTATTCAGTTACTGTACATATTACTGCTCTACCTGTACCTTCTTGGTGAAGCTGGTTGAAGAGGAGCCCACCATGGCTCGGTTGGTGACTCTTCCATTAAACACAGACTGGACTGAACTGATGAAGCTGGACTTTCCAGAACCGACTGGCCCCAGGAGGAGAATCCGGGCCTGAGTCACATACTCACAGCTCGGTCTGTAGGAGCCGACACTCTTCATCAGACTCATCTTTCGCCTGTGTTTGAATACAGGATGCTCATTTGCCATTCAGAATAATTTTAATAAACAGAATGAAGACATGGCAGAGCAAGTCTATCTAAATGAGTTAAAGTGATATGTTGATTGTGCTTAAATGTCTTACCTTTTCTCATAAAATGACCACAAATATATTGACTGCTAGTAATAAAATAGTTGCAAACTTAACAGATTTACTCACTCTTCTGTCCACTCCACATCTCTCCATGGAGAGTCCAACTTTGGATGAACTGCTGATTAAGAGCTCATGAGGTTTAATGAATATCCAACACACAGTGATGTCAAATCTAGATATTTCCTGAAGCTACAATGGTATTAATCAGCACAAAACAATCTGCAGGTCTCATGAACCAGAGCCTTTGACAACTGTCTTACTGTGGAACAAATTAATACCTTACCTGTGAAAGTAAAAGCCTTCTTACTCCTTGCACCTGTTGAACTGACACTGTTGAAAGCACCTTTAGTGTCCTCTGCCTTGGCATTAGCACTATGGGCTGGAGAAGCTGCAAATCTAGATTTCAAGTCTCCAAGACTGATGAGGAAAACAATCACAAACACCAGATGAAGAACACAATGAGGAGCTAAAAATTAATCAGATGAAGACCTGAAATTAACTCCTGATTGACCTAAAGGACAGGACTACAGTATACAGTAGGTGTCCTGTGAAATAGCTGCATTGTTGAGACGGACAGAGAAAATAACTGAGGCAATTAAGGCAAAGACTCAACCAAAAGACCCACAAAAATTCAAGGTTTAGTGATGAAACCTGAGTTTATAAAGCACTACTGATTGAAAGTGTCTATATTAGAACCTCACAGAAACATCTGGCTCACAGCTTACCCCGTTTCAGTGGATTCCACCTTCGGCACAACTGCAGAAAAGAGTTTAACAGTTTTAATGAAATATTCAGTCTTTGCTACTGTGCTTTTACTTTAGTATGGTGACATTTTGTTACCATACTATATATAAAAGAATGACAGCAAAGAAAGTCATAAAATACAGCTGTGAGGTGTGAAAAGACATCAATGAAACCAGAAATGTTAGTCAAAAGAAACAACTGGGCGAGTTGGCAAGTCTTCCAGTGTTGCTTAATTATATCAACTGTGTGTTTTTTTTTGTGAGACCATTTGTCTATCAGCTTTGGGTTTCAAAAGTGAAAAACAACAACTCTGATAGGAAGCAGAGCCACCATAAAGGTCAGTGGACATGCAGTGGGCGAGTCAAACACAGCTGGTAATTGATAAAATGTCATGCATTTCTTGCCTGAATACAGCTGTTGTGTGTGTTGTACAGTATTATCATCAGGACTACTGATGTTTGTCATTATGTGCTGTACACAGAGACATGCAGCAGAACGCCGTTTCACTTTTACATTATTAAGAACCACTGGTGTGTGGTTCTGGACTGTTTATAGCCTGCGCAGGGATCTAGTGCATCTGGTGTTCAATGTTCTTTTCATCCATGACTGTTTGCATTTTACCAGCTTAGAAATATTGTGTTTGTTGAAGAAAATGGAAACTGCAAACAGTGACATTACTTTTTCTTGCAACTGTAAATAGTAATATCAAGTAATGTTCCTGGCATTAATTTGCAATTTTGTACAAAGTGCACTGAACTGGGTCAAACTTTAATAGGGCTATGTTTTTTGTGCCCAGTCTGTCCCTGGGTACAAAGGTAAGAGGTGCCCAAAATACAGTGTGATGGTGGGCAATGAAAGGTGTGATCATGCTGAAGTGCTGCAGTTCATCACAGGTCAACTTGATGTATTGTGTTGTTTTTCTTGTTTCTGTCTGTACGGAGAGATTTTTCTTTTTAGACATCATCATGTGATTCTGTTAACCGTGTAAAGGATTTTGAAGCACATATTCACTGTTTGGGAAATTGGAACACAGTTGCGCATCTTACATGGCCTTTTGTTCCCCAATGCATCTGAACGCAGAAAAACTATAATGATAAGGTGGTGCCTCAAGCCTTTCTGTGACATGATGGTCTCTGATCATTTTCTTGACCCTGAAAAAAACTGCACGTATTACACGGATGAGCAGTTTAACAGCAATGTCAAGACTGAAAACAAATTATCATTAATTCACTTCAATAGCAGAAGTTTATATGCAAACTTTCAGAGTCCATCCATCCATCCATTTTCCTCCGCTTATCCGGGACCGGGTCGCAGGGGCAGCAGTCTAAGCAAAGATGCCCAGACTTCCCTCTCTCCAGACACTTCCTCCAGCTCCTCCGGGGGAATTCTTCCGAGCATTGTTTAAACTGTCCAGTACATGACCTTCTAGGTTACATTGACCTAGCGCACATTTCCTTTTTCTAAACCTGAACAGAGCACACGAATAGTTCACATAAGACTGCAACTACAAAATACATACAAAAGAAATACATACAAAAGCTCACTTCAACCATTGTATATATTACAAAAAAGAGCGATAAGAATTGTGCATAAGTTGGGGTATAGGGATCACACCAATGTAGCTTTCATACAGTCTAAATTGTTAAAATTTTTTGATTTAGTGGGATAAAAGACTGCAGTGTTTATGTATAAAGCCAGGAGCAATTTATTACCTGGTGGAATTCAAAAACTATTTAATGAAAGGGAAGGGGGATACAATTTAAGGGGTCAGTTAAATTTAAAAATTCATGCTATACGTACAACCAAAAAAAGATTCTGTATTTCTATAAGTGGGGTAAAACTATGGAATAATTTAAGTGTAGACATAAAAAATAGTAATAGAATTGACGAGTTTAAACATAAATATAAAGGTATGTGTCAATCAAGATATATGCAAGAACAGGCTTAATGATTAATTAGATGGAACATTGTGGGTGTGGTGTATGAATGTTAACACTTTGTAATAATTCTTTAGTATATTACTTGTGTGGTGTAGAAGATAATTATCTATGTAGAGATACTGCTTGCAAACCAATGATGGTAAGATGATGTCATGGGGTAGGACTGGATAAGTCTGACTTCTTCCTACTCCATTCAAGCATGTACTAGGTATAAGCAAATTGATATTGGATTAGCATTTGTTGGATATGTGTAAAATTATGCGTGTTGACATATCAACTGTCTGAATAAATAAATCAAATCAAAGTGTTTAGTAGCTTACCTGGAAGTGAAAAACAAGAGTTGCTCCCTAATGTGGCGAAAGTAGGTTTAGCTGGAGTAGCTGCAGCTGTGGCTGTGGTGAAGGCAAGAGGGTTGGCTGACGTAGCTGCAGCTGTAGCTGGCAGGGCTGAACCGATCCCAAAAGTAAAACTGATGAAGAAATCAAATCACATACAAGACAAGAGAAAAAGATAAGCAACAACAACAACAGATAAAGCAAATGAGCAGAAATGAACTTCAATGCTTTTCATTAGTCTTTAACTTAAAATTTAGCAGAGTAAATAATCAATTAAATACAAAAATCATCCGTTTAATAGCTGCTGACTGCAGTCCTAGCCAAGTCTCTCTCACATCAACAACTAAGAGACTTATTCTGTAAAGCTGACAGGTATTTTATAAACCTATAAACATTTTTATTTCCTTTTAAAGCCACAACAGCAATAAACCAAGTTAAACCGTTAAATCTGTGGGTATCTGCTCAGTGCAGCTTGACATCAGTCATCATGGATGTTTTGTAATGAGCTTAACTCGGACCATTTTTTAAAGTCTGACATAAAGGTATAAAATTAGCTTTAGCTACCTCAAAACTGTACTTAGGTACACCACTTAGGCCGATGTAGGGCTATTTATAAAACCACTGTTAACTACTGTAACTTACTGAAGCTGCTAATTCATTCATTTTCATTTGGCCAAATAAAGATTATTATTATTATTATATTAACGTTACCTCCTTGTTTCCATGTTCTCCCTCCTTGCTAACTACTGCATGTAGCCGCAGCGAACAATCACCACCAAAAACAAAACAGATGGAAACCGAGGAAATGAAACCGAAACTGGGCGATGAGGAAAGCACGATTGGTTAAGGCAGGGGTGGCCAATTCCAGTCCTCGAGGGCCGCTGTCCTGCTGCTGATTACCTGGAAAGATAAAGTGAATTGGTATCTTCCAGCTTCTGACTGACTGAACACACCTGAACCAGGTAATCAGCAGCAGCTCAGGCTGGGATAGTTGTAAAACACGCAGGACAGCGGCCCTCGAGGACTGGAATTGCCCACCCCTGGGTTAAGGTGTAGGTTAGATTATGGTCAGATTAAATTAGGGGGGGCAGACTTCACTTCCGAGCTTCGGGTTCGTTGTTTTTCACCAGGCACATACCAGTGAGTTGCTCATGTGTCGAAAAGCGTTCCCCTGTCAAGATGCGTTAACCTTTGGCCACTAAAATAATCTGTTGACAGTCTGTACAAACAATGCCTGTGGCTGCAGCTATCGCTGGCGTGAAGCCATTAAAGACACGAGTCGCCCAAAAGAGCTGGCCGGATTTGTCATTTATACGTACTGCATGGTGATGAGTACAAAGTGTTAAAGCCCAGTGTGTGAGCCTCAACCTGTCATAGCAGGAAAGTGCTGGTGCAAATGTTTGTGTGGCTGGTGCAAATGTTTGTGTGGCTGGTGCATGTTGCAGAGCCATTATTAATGTTATTACTTGCACCTTACTGCTATGGCAAATAAGAGTGACTATTGTAAATAAAGTGTGCTGACAAATAATTGCTGGCAAAAATTATCTAATGCTTTCTATATAGAGAGAAAGTGCCCGATTGGCAGCGTATGAACATCAAACATTGTAGGCAGTAATTAACCGTATGACTATTTATGTTTCTACTCCTCATGTCCACTAGAGGGCTCTCTAGACTTGTGTTTGGAAGCTGTTGACCCGTGTCAAGCTGCTGGCTTGACACAGGTCAACGTGGTCAACCTGTGGGCACCGTTTATTAAAAATGTTCTTCTTCTACAGGGAGACTGCATAGCCTGATGTCTGTAGCTTCCTCCTGCAGTCGAGGAAAATGTATCTTGACAATCACTGTTGTAACTCAGTAGCTTTTAATAATTTGATAATGTCTGAAACTGAAAGGCAGTGATTGCTATTCCTTGGTGAGGAAATATGCTTTGTGTTGATGTGTGTGTGTGTTTGCTTCTTTGGCTTGTTTGATAGAAGGATTAGTTTTTTCAGGTTAGAGCTGTAAACAGATACATATTTGGCTAGCATTATTAACTAACTCAGAAAGACATTTACACGGAGTGAAATCTCAGTATGAGTGTGGGGGTAGCTTCCAAACCATGAAATACTGTGCTCACCTAATCTTAGAGGCCACTGCTCAAACTGGATCTTGACCTTGTTATTCTGCCATAAGTTATTTGCATCTTGAAAACAAAACAAACAGTAAATAGCTTGCAGGTTCTTTCAGGCCAGATTTATCTGAGCTGTTTTGGCTCTGATCAGGCATAATGACAGCCCACACCAAGGCCCAGCTATCTTTATTACCTTGTGGCCATGCCAAGCCTTTACCCAGAAAGACTGGGAACTTCACTTAGGTTAGCACATCCAAAACCTGCCATACCCAATGTTCCCAAACAGAAACAAGAAGGCTGACACCTAAGTTAATTTTATAGTTGGGAGAACCCAAATCAAAAATACAGCCTGTTGTGGCCTTGAGGTTATGACTGTGTGTAATTAAAGGTGAGTATAACTGTTAATGGTTTGACAACAAACACTATCTATAGACTGTTAAGTCTATGAATCAAGGATGTTTGCCTGAAAAATGGTGTCCCACAATTCACAGTAACTGTGCAAAACCAACCTCATGATTTATCTGCCCTGTAACCACAAACCAGGTGTGATATATTTAAACATATGGGTAATGTACATCTGAAGGTGTGTGTGCTATGTAACAGGGCTGTAGACAGGATTTAGGAAATACTGAGGCCATAATTAATTTCATTAACACCAAGTAGTTGCTTTTAACAATAATCACTTTATATGGCCCAGTATGTGATACAGGGAATTTGTCTCCGGTACAGAAGCGAGTCAGCGCCAACTCACACTGCAGGGCGCTGCTCTAGCCATCGGGGGCAACTAGGGGTTCAGTGTCTTGCCTAAGGACACTTGGACATGTGGACTACATGCACCATGATTTGAACCTCTGACCTTTACCCCCTGAGCCACAGTCACCCTGAGAAGTTGATGTGGCCACTAATCATTACCCCGACAAAACATTTTCACACCTGATATTCATCAAAATTAAAAGTTACAAAAGGAACAATGAGCTCAATATGTTTCCAGCTACAAACACTATTCATATTTACTGTACTCTGATATACACATATTCAGCATAAAGTTGTTTTGTGTAGCAGTTTTCAAAGTGAAAGTTAAAGTTAATTGCACACAGTCATAACCTTTCAAAGTTAGCTAGTTTTCAAAGTGAAAGTGAAAACTGCTCTGTAAAGGAGGTCACAGCACATCCCTACCTCCCTCATTGCATTTGTCCTGGCCAAATCAGAATAACCATGAAGGCAGCTACTGATATCAGCCAGTGTGTGTTCAAATCACATATACTAACCTCAGGCAAGTTCAACAATCCTGTAGGTTCCCTGCTGAAGGTATCTTTCAGCCAACAGTCATAACATGCAGTGCAGAGGCGGTTAGTGCCTCACTATCCACTCACTGGCTCAGAAGCTCATAATTAATGTGGATAGTTAATGATTTTTGATGGTCATCACCTTACAGCAGGTCCCCCTCATCATGTGGGACTGTGAGTTTAGAAAGTTCAGACACATCTTACTCAGCAGCTGATATCTGTAGAGCAGAGAGCTGCAGGTGGGAAGAAGAGGGTGAGCGGTCTAAAAAAGGAGCTATGCTGACTATGTAGTCGTGTGACACAGCAGTCTGTTTTACAAGCAACCCCCTCCCTGCCACCTTTATCCACATCCCCACAGGGTGACACACAGGCTCTCGGCTAGTGAGCCTGCCAGTAAGCCCATTATGCCAAAGTACAGTTAGGGCTGAAAATAAGAACTACAGTGATATGGGTGGAACAGGTTGCAACCGAGGAGAGGGCAAGAAGAATATCAACTTGAAAACACAATGGCTATGCTTCTGAAATGTTGTTTGCTTTTTATAGCCAGTGTGAAAGTCAATGACAAAATAACTAATGATTAAACGTTCGTGAAAAGTATTTGCATAACAGCCAAGGGCACAGGGTCAGCGAAGGCTCTAACAGGTTGCTAGGTGGACTGATATGATTTATACATTTTGATCCAGTATGAAAATACCACATACAATGTACTTCTTTGAATGCAACACATAAACTTTATGAAGAGGATCTTTATAGTCTATGAGTAAAGAGAAGGACAAAAGCTTATAAAAAGAGTAGCGGTATAAAAAAAGAAACCTCTTCCATTGGTACCAAAAAAAAACATCTGCAACTTTTAAGGTATGAACATTGGCTGCTATTTTATCTTTACCCTATATTTTCTATAAAGCAAAAAAGCTGCGATCATTTTGAACCAAAGATGATTTGGTGGTAATCCATACAATATTCAGAATACCTTTTGATTTTTAAATTCTAGCTATTGTAGGCAATTTAAATGCTGGTTGTAAAGTCCAGCATAAAGGACCTGCACGATAAGAACTTTGAAGTCTTACAAAGTAAGATGTATGGTACCTTGCAGTAGTTCAGGCACTGGTTTTATATGCTGTTCAATCACACATGAGTACACCCCTTGTACAAGTCCATACAAAGACAACGTGCACATTTTCAACATACTCTAACAGCACTGTGTTTTGCTGCTACAACCCTACCTGTTTACCAATAAATGTGCTTCCCTCAATCCACCCTCCTCCTGAATAAGCACTTAGATTTATGACAGCTTCATTTAAACGTTGTCTATTTCAGTTTGAGTCTGGCTAGCCCAGGTTTATTTCTGCAGCATCACAGTAACAGAGCCACACTGGAAAGTGTAAGCTGTAGACATGCACCAAAAGGCATGATTTGTGACATAACTAGATGAGTTTAAAATTCAACAAACAAATGTGATGTGGGAGCCTAAAACCTCCGGTGCATATACACTGTGAATGGGGCTATGAATAAAATACTGTAGGAGACAATTTTTGTCCATCATCTACATGTTTGAAATGAAAAATATTTACTTATGTACTGAATCTTCATTTTAGAAAGAAGCAGACTGTGAATGTTTACTGGTTAATTTACCTTTTTTGTGGAAAAGCACATTACCAGTCAGGGCTGGCTGGTGTGTCCGACCAGAGAGTCTGACGGTAAGATGAGCGCAAGTATTTGCATGAAAGTGACCAAAAGG